TATTATTTAAGTACAGTCTCAGATAAATACAAATATAAACCTTAAACAAAAATACGAAACATTGAGGTTGTTTTTTAACCTAAAGCACCACATCTATCTTGCACATAGCAGCTTGATTATTTCTTGAGTATGCTTCCATTTTATTTTGAACCACTTCTCTGCTTTCTGCAAAATGTCTATCTGATTATTTTCCATGTAGGTGCATTAGGTAGAGTTCAATATTTCACTAATACTGAACAATTCACATACAAATAGATAGTTTAATCTTAGATATTTCCCTAAGGTCTGAAGAGGTTGGCATACATATAAACAGAATTGGAAGAGCTGGTGAAATATTTAGCTGAAACTTTAAAGAAATTTTTCTCTCTCTGCTACTTCCCGGTGATAGTTGTAATGCAGCCCAAAGCTTTAGCTCTTTGTATACTTTTATCCTCCCTCCTTGATGCAGGCTTTCTGACATCCCTGGCTGTTTGAATTACACACCACATGGAGGCACAGGATGGACTGTGCTAGTTCATCAGCTTGAATCAATCATTTCTTAGATCCCTTTTCTGATTCTAATACTCTGTGACTGCTGAGTAGCCCATTGGGGTTTTTTTTCCATTAGAATCTCACACACAGCAATATATACCTCATTTTGAAAGAATGTATAGAAGAATTAAAGAGAAATTTTTCATTTTTAAAAGGAAAGAAAGACAGCATGAAGTACAAAAATATCAAATTTGTAATATATTTAACCTGAGAATTTCCTGTTAATAATGATGACTTACTATACCAGTATTTATCAGTCATCTAAGACGTGCCAAGCACTGTTTGTTGTGTAACAGTGATGGTGGTGGTGGTGGTGGTAGCAGTAACAGCTAGCATTTGTTGAAGACGTAGGACCACGTAAATGAGATAGTAATAGGCCCTGCCCTTGTGGAATCCTAAACTAGCTGGAAAATCAGAATTGAATAAATAAGTCCAAGTGTTATCAATACTATGTAAAATGGCAGGGTACAAGCGGAGGGTGTTACACGGGGCCTAATCTAGTCTAGGGGTAGGTAAGTCTTCTCTGAGGAAGTAACTAAGAGTTAGCTCCACAAAGGAAAAACAGGGTTGAAGAAGAAGAGCATTCCAGGCAGAGGGAAGACTATGGTAAGGGCTGTGATCAAGCAAAAAGAATATGTTGGAAGAGTTCAACTGGCTAAAGCTTAGAAGGCTAAGGGGAGTAGAGAAACAAGGCTGGAGAGAAGAGGCGGGAGGAAGATCATGCTGAGCCTTCGAGGCCATAGAAGGAGTTTTGTCTCTATCCCAGGGCACCTGGGAGCTATTGATAGGTGTTAAGCAATAGGTGTTGAGTGAGTGACATGATCAGCTTTGGGCTCTTAAGAGGATTACTCTGCCTCAATTGGAGGGGAAGAGAGAGAATGTGCAGAGGGCAGACATGACAGTGGCTTGGACTAGAGAGGGGCAAGTGTTTGTAAAATCTCCCTGAGTCCCTGTCAGGCTATCAAAATGCTCTAAAGCCTTGTAAGGGAGATGTGGGAACCCACGAGTGAAAGGCCATGGAAGGGCACAGAGAGGAAAAACACAAAGGGCTTGCCCTCCACTGAATTCTGAGCCTGGATCTGCTGACTCCCAACCCCTCCCAGTGTTTTAGGAAGGAATGGTGTACTGATGCAAACCGTGGAGAAAAGAAGCCCAGAATTTGCCTAGAAATAGTTCATAAACCATACAAGTATTGCCACAACCAAATGTGAGAAAATGGACTTCTGAAAGGGATTCTTTTCATATATAAGAAAATATATCCATATATTGTAATTACTGACCTAAGGTTCTTTTAAGGAGGGTTCATTTTGAAAGCCTGAGTTGTAGGCTGTATTGTTAGCCCCTTTTGTGCCAGATAAGATGACAAAGCTCTCATCTTCCTCTGGGTTCAAAGAATAGTTATTAGTCAGTCACTCATCAAGCCACTCAATTTTATTGAGCAACAACACGATGAAAAGCTTTGGAATACAATGGGTAATCAGTGTCCACATGGAGCATCAGTCCAGTGAAGAAGCTGGAAATATAGACATTAAAAGTAAACTAAGCCACATTTAAATTTAAAAAGTGCAACTGTGATTAAGGTCTACAAAACAACGTTACGGTACTAGGAGGGCTTCTGGAAGGAGAATCTAGCACAGACAGCAAGTTGGGGAAGTGCTGCCTGAACTGAGAGGATGAGTAGAAACTAAACAGATATAGAGAGGAAAGAAGAAAATGCTAAAATTCATTAATTTGACAAACAGGTATAGAGCACCTGTCAGGCACCAAGGGTCCTAACAGGGAGTGATGATAGCTAAGTGAATCAAACTCAGCCTGTTAGAGACCTAAAAACATGGGCTGAGTCTTGCTGATTGCTAGGCTATGAGAATTTGATGGTTACTTTACACAGACCTCAGTGCCCTAATCTGTAAAATAAGAAGATGACATCTATCTTGCAGGGTTACTGTGAGGATTAAAAATATTTAAAGCCCTTAGCCCACTGCCTGGCACAGAAGTAGCAAGTTCTGTCACGTCAAGACCGTGAGTCAGTATGACTTAGTGTCAGAGCATGTTCACAGTATTCAGAAGCTCACAATTAGACCATCTGGGTTCCAGTCCCAGGTGCAGCACTTACTAGCTCTATAACCCTCGGGCAAATGACAAACTTTCTAAGCTTTAGTTTCTTCCTCTACAAAAGGAAGATGATAGAAATACCTCACAAGTTTCTTGGGAGGATCAAAGGAGATAATACATGAGAAGTGTGAAAGATGGCTAAATACCTGAACTACAAACACATTATATGTGTGCCAGGTGCTGTATCAGCATGGATAGATAAGCAGTAAATTATTTTTGGTTTCATTATTCTGGATAGGAGGATGAAGCTAGATAGGACCTAGGACCAAAACCTTCACATAGAAAGTCTTGCTCTGGGCCTTTATAATGAATAGGTATTAGACAGACAGAATGCTGATTAGGTTGTGTTGCTCAAGCTATAGGGCTGCAGTGTGCTATTGGGAGAATGGTGAGGGGGTCTAAGCCTTAAGGAGAAGATTTTAAAAGACAAGTGAGTTCATTCTAACAAAAATCTTTAAATATATATATATATTTCCTGTTAATAATGATGACTTACTATACCAGTATTTATCACTCATCTAAGACGTGCCAAGCACTGTTTGTTTTTAAAAATGACTTATATATATATATATAAGTTACTTGTTACCATATTCAGTAACTTCTTAACCTTTTGGGGTCGTAAACAACTTGAAAACTTAATTATTAAAAAATGAAACTCTGTAATGTCTCCCTTATAGAAGAAAATTAAAAGTACACATTTACATAAAATGCTTCCTACAATTTCAGGAACTTCATAAACACCATGAGGCCTTTCCATGGATTCCTGTCCCTGGGGTTTCAGGTCAGAACCAATGATATCAAATATATTAGCAGGAAACAGAACAGAAAAGTAGCAGAGACATTAACATAACAATTGCGGAGATGTGTATTCAGTGAAATACCGCTAACTGCAGGATATTCAGTTATTTTTATAGTATGGCCCAATCTCTGTTCATTCTTTTTTTTTTGGTATCATTAATCTACAATTACATGAGCAACATTATGTTTACTAGACTCCCCCCATCACCAAGTCCCCCCTACATACCCCATTACAATCACTGTCCATCAGCATAGTAAGATGCTGTAGAATCACTACTTGTCTTCTCTGTGTTGTACAGCCTTCCCCGTGCCCCCCCCACATTATACATGCTAATCATAATGCCCCCTTTCTTTTTCTTCCCCCCTTATCCCTCCCTTCCCACCCATCCTCCCCAGTCCCTTTCCCTTTGGTAACTGTTAGTCCATTCTTCGGTTCTGTGGGTCTGCTGCTGTTTTGCTATTTCATTTTATTTCTTTGTTCTAATACTCCATAGATGAGTAAAATCATTTGGTACTTGACTTTCTCTACCTGGCTTATTTCACTGAGCATAATACCCTCTAGCTCCATCCATGTTGTCCCAAATTGTAGGATTTGTTTTNTATCTTTTTCAAACTGGTCTGCTGCATTCTTAGGGTAAATTCTTAGGAGTGGAATTCCTGGGTCAAATGGTATTTCTATTTTGAGTCTTTTGAGGAAACTCCATACTACTTTCCACAGTGGTTGAACTATTATTCCCTGTTCATTCTTAAATTTGAGATAATCCAAGTCTAGATTCTACATTAACACTTCTCTAAAACTCTCATGTAATAATGTCCTACAGTTCTACATGTGCAGTATCTTTATTATCCTTCATGACAGAAAGCCTCTGCAGAACTCCCAGTACATTGCTCACTGTGAGGTCTTGTATCCCAGAGAACTGTGACATTACTGGGTCCACTCCTGCTACCCATCTCCTCTGTTACACCTAACTGTCTTACCTACCATTCCACTTGTGCGTAATATACAGCATGACTCAGCTCTGGATAATACAGTTATTTAAAGGGAAAAGAGCATTTCATTATAACACCAAAAATAAATCCAGCAAACTTACCAAGACAGATAAACATAGAAGAGATTTGGGTCAGGTATATTTCAATCTCAGGATGCAAAGTTTTAACTTGGCCTTTGTGTAGCTCTGACCAAGGAGGAGTACAACCTTTATTATCTTAACTTTATACTTTATCTGATATGCAATTAGTTATAAGGTTAATTCTACATGCCAGTTTATACAGTTTCTAAAGAATTCTGATAGGTTCTCAGTATAAAGCAGAAAACTGTTCTGCATTTTCTGTTTGTGGTTTCCATCTGTTTGCTTGTGAAGATAGAACAGTTACCCATGTGAAAGCTGGGATATGAAAAGCATCTACCTATGTCTGCACATTTCTATGTACATGTTTATGACTGTGTATGTTAAAAATTCTAAATCATTATTAGATTCCAAAGAAAGATAGGAAAGGAAAATTTTGAAAACAATTTTAAGAATGATTTAAATTAAAGACATGTCTTTCCTCCCTCATAGCTACATCATCCCTCCCAAGGCTTCCGCTTTGGAACGGTCCGGGAAAGCAGTGCTGAAGATTATGTGAGGCAAAGCTTCCCGGAGATGCATGAGTACATGAGAAGGTACAATGTACCAACCACCCCCGATGGAGTGGAGAATCTAAAGTGAGTGTCAACCTCTGGAATCCAAAAGGCTCTCACTGAAAGAGAAGTCCTAGCTATTGATGTAGACCTTGTTGCTTTTTTTAAAAAAATGACAGCTAAATATACCCACTGTGTGTTCAGTAATCCCTCACCCTGTGTGAGATCCAGGACAATGTGGAATAGTGTACATTTAATTATGTGACCTAGATTACTAGTTACCTATATAGTCCCACATTGGAAGTAGCTTTGCTCAAAGTGCCAGTGGGGTCATTAGTGTAGCAGATGGTGGGGGAAATAAATGTTGGCTTGAGGTCACTTCAAAAAACAACAGTGCTGAAATGATCAAACACTCAGGGAATGTGGCCAGAGGATATAGTCTCCCAAAGCAGCCCTTTCCTTCACAGTGAATCTCTAACCCCATGGACTGTCTCTTCTTGCCACAAGGAAATGGGATTTATCTGAGAGATTTCCTGTAGAAAGGAAATAAGGCAATGATTCCCATGCCTGCAGCCTTTTCATCAGAATTTATGAGAAGCAATCAAGAGCAATCACATTGCCATGGCAGATTATCAGAGCCTGTAATTCAGTGAAGCTGAGTGCAAAGGAGGTTGGTGCAGTTATGGATCTGCCCATCTAGTCTGCCTGGGAGAAGGGAGGGAATGGCTCCTGATAAGCACCACAGCATAAGGGTGAACAGCCCTCTCCCTCCTGCCTGAGGTCTCAGGGCAGTGACATACCTTCAAACCTCCAATCCCTAATATTGTGTGGCACCAGGCAACTGGCTTCTCTGGTCAGCCACAATAACCTTCCCAATGGACAGTGGGTCTTGCCATCTCCAGTTCTCTTGGAGAGAAAGAAAGGAAATAAATGATTTCATAGGACATAAGGGCTCTGAGTTTCTCAAAAGGTCTAGTAACAGGCTCTTAAAACAATGTGTGGACTTTTAACCAGAGTCTGCAAGGAAGCCTTGTGCTTTCAGATTTGCAAAGTCATACACAGTGTTTAAGCACTAAGAAATGGCACTTTCAGTTTTTCAAGAACACGGAAACTTTACAACAGATGTTTGTGCTTGTTTGCCTCACAGCTCCTCTTCTCTGTCCTCTCTTTCAGGCAAATTCATGGCTGAGAAAGAATGTAAGATGTCAGGGAGATAGCAGAGGCTCCAGCTAGATAGTAAAGGCTGACAAACAGGGCTCTTCTGGCACCATGGGAAGGCTGAGCCAAACCGCTGAGCAGTCCCAGCTCCACTCCACTCAGGGTATCCATTTATTCCAGAGGCTTCACCTGTGAAGACCCCAGTACTCAGAGTTAGCCCCACTCTAGCTCAGAGAGAAGAAATCTTTAGAAAGCAGGCAAATCATTAAATCATTAGAAAGAAGCAATTTGTCCATGGTAATACAGCTAGCAAGTGGCAGAGTCAGAGTTAGAACTAGGTCTCTGGAATCCCAACTACTGCTCCAGGCTAGCTTGGAAGCATAACAGAAAGCAGGTCCTTGGTGTTCAAAGAAGAGTCCATGTTCCAATGAGCATCCCAGAATCTGCATTTAAAAGGCTCCCAGGTGATTCACCAAGGGAGGTGAAATTGCATATAGACAGAGCTTACCATGAATGCCCTCCCACTTCTTATCTTTGGGCTTCTCTCTCTACTTTTGGCTTAGTCACTGCCTTGGCTCTTAGCCACCACTCTAGGCAACCACAGCCCCACTGTTACTCCCTATAGGGCACAACCCCTGGAGTCACCTGTACAAGGTAGGTTCCTGTGTTAAACCTGTCCCTTCCCTCTCTCTTCAAAACTCCCCTGGGCTTAGTCCTACCCACTAAGGGCTCTGTTTTCTGAAAAGACGGTATTCTGATAATAATCCCTATTAAAATATTAATTTCTTAGAGTATGTTTACATAGGAATATTTTTCTGTGGTATATATATTCAATGAATGTTCAAAAGGGCAGAGCATAATTCTATAATGGGAGAAACAACTAGCGGTTCTGCCAAAGGTAAGGGTGATTCATCCAGCCTAGCTTCTACTTGTCCCTGGATCACTCCGGGCCACTGCCTCACCAGTGACTCAGCCTCCATGGGAGTCTGGGAGCTAATTGCTCCCAGAGACTCTCTATAATGGCTAACCACTTTGCAGTCCCAAATCAGGAGTAGTTATATAAGGATACCACTGAAACTGGGCCTCAGGAATTGTTAGAAAAAATGAACCCCAATTTTTTTCTGTGGTTATGGCTACCACAAATACTTGCAGAATATTGGTAAATGATAACTATTGTTATCTAGCTCCCAAGGTACATTCTGCTACTATGGCAGTGAAACTTTGATTAAAGAGACATCTTGTAGCTTGATATGTGTTTTAATGCCAGGATTCTATTAAGGTTCCTCATCATCAGATTAGGAGGCAGGTCACATCCTCGATCCTTTCTGAAGCTTCCCGCAGCTGTGGAGCTGGGAGGTGTGTTTCATTTTGGTGAAAGTTAAACATGGGCCTCACTATATCTTAAATCCATACCCTGGAAATAGGGATGCATTTTCGGTTGGCTATTTCACTTCCTGCAAGAGTAGAAAGAGGAAGCAATGGTCATTGGCACCAACAAGGGAAGTTGACCTACTTACAAATGTCCATGTATGGTCCAAAGTCATCCAAATAAACATGTACGTCTTGCCCAATAATGAATCTTTGAGTTTTCTAGGGGTGTCTTTCCCTTTCAGATTTTTGATAGGCCTTAGCCATGTTCTCCCCTGAGTTAGAAGTCACTCCTTTGTATTAAATTCCAACAGCCTCATTTTTGGCTCTAAGAGAGGAATGACTGAGCCAGATGGAATAGAGAAGACTTGTTCTCTTTTCCAAGCTGTTTGGACAGTGCTGAGGGCTGGAAAGTCTTTCTGAAATGGATGTGTGCTCTACACCTTTCCAATAAGGATTTGAGGTGGCTAAAAACAAAAGAGTTATTGCATCCACTTTAAGTAGTTCCCTCTGGAACTCTGCCTACCTTGCTCCTTTCTAGGTGGGAGCTTAGCCGGTACTGAGACACAGCCTTGGGCTGTCTCTGTGCCTGTGTATAAAACTGGAGACAACTCATGAAGGATGTACAAGGCGTCTGTCGGCATCTTGAGCCCAGCCCATATCCAATTCACTGATAAAGTTCAAGGACACCTACTTTAAATGATTCTTGCCTGAACTGCCTCCTGGGATGAGAGTGAAACATGAATCTCTGGGGATATATTAATAAATCAGATCACTAAGATCTATTACATATGCCTCCCCTCCCATTTATTGATTGTTTCTCTACGGACTGTAGAGAGACCTTAACTTCCTCTTCCCCAGGGTGTTAAGATCTCTAATTTGCATTTCCTTCATATGTTACTCCTAAATATGAAATAATGCCTGCTCTGTGAAGAATCTGATAGTGATCATGACAGAAAGACATAAGAATTTCCACATACTGATTAATGAGACCACCTAGCTTCTACACTTACCTAGCTAGGTGACCTGGACCTGTTACCTCAATTCTCTGAGCCTCAATTGCCTCATTTTTCAAAATGGGATAATACCACCCACCTTGTAGTCATGAGTGGTAAATGTATGGAAAACAATAAATACAGTGCCTAGCAAAAGAAGTTGCTCAGTTAATGTAAGAAATGAATCTTCCCATTCAATTCAGTCATTGTGACTTTGTTGGGTTCGGTATGAAGGGAAATGGTAGGTAAAACCACTAGAAAGATGTCATGCTCTCTTGTAAGAGTGTGTTTCCCTCCGTCTGCTCTCTACATGTCAGTGAGGTGTCAACAAGGCTGAGTCAGCAGCTAGCGAGCTTTTGCTGCCCTTAGTGTCCAGGTTTCTGTCCCCTAAGCAAAAGCCAGCTGTGAGCCCTAGTGCTTCCTGTCCATTAATGAATCATTTTTTGCTTTTCTTCTCTTGGTCTTAAATATAGGAATGATCCAGAGAAACTAGACGCCTTCATCATGGACAAAGCCCTTCTGGATTATGAAGTGTCAATAGATGCTGACTGCAAACTTCTCACTGTGGGGAAGCCGTTTGCCATGGAAGGTATTAATCAGTCTCACTCCTGATTCGCTTTTACTCAGGATGTGCTCATTTTGCCAGCCTAGCTAGCAAGTCACAAATGCCAAAGGCAGAGGTAAAGAGCTATTCCTCTTCTCTTGTTTTCATTTTCAACTATAAGCAGTTAGCTATTAAGTTGCTGTAGTTAGAAATTTGTTTTTCATCTACACGAAAATTTATTTGTCCAATTGTTACAAACACCACCACCACAACACACGTCGTTCTTACCCAAATGAGGCTGCTTCAGATATCTGGGCATGGTGATGCAGTGGAATGAATGGGGAGTCCAAATGTAATTTAATCTGTGTTTTCTAATGGCCAAATCCTGCAAGGAATCTGATGCAAAGACTAGAATGATGATTTTACTGCTGGAAGGACCCCAGTGTTGATCTAATCCAGTTACTCATTTTAGCCACAAGAAAGCCCAGAGACATTATATCACTTTTTCATAAATACCCAATTAGATGATAATACTGGAATTAGAATCCATATCTCATTGTTCTTAAATAGATGTTTTTCTACTGATTGGAAAATAACTAGAAATAGAATCTCCTTCTATGTCTTAGTAACCTTTAAGAGTCCTAAACAAAACTTTGGGACCTCAGGTTTGCCTTTCTCCCCACTGGCAGCAAATTTTTGCTTCCAGCTCAATCAACCGATCCATCAAGCTCCAGGACCAAAGAAGGACTGCTTTGTCATTAGCTCCTTTCATTCTGGACAACAGTAAATACACAGAGCTGAGAGTTTGAACCAGCAAATTTGGAATCTCACAAGTCTCAGCTTCCTTCTCTGACAGTACATTTTGGCTCTCAAGACAGCCATGCTTACTATCAGAAAACACTTGACTTGAAACGGTCCCATGGGAGTGCTCAAGTCCTATTTCCAGAGAACTAAACTCTCCTGTATGTTAACTAGTGTATCAAGACTATTCTGATTCCAATTTCCCAACCACCATTGATCTCTGTCTCCCCCAAACACATCAGCAAATTTTTGACTTCAGTCTTTGTTTTTGTGATGAATGAGAATGTAACAGTTGATGCTGTCTGTTCCTTTGAGCCTTCTCCTCAGAGAACTCAATCTCATCTCCAGGCCAAGTGACCTCCCCCTGAACCAGGGGTAGAACACACAGGAAGAGAGAGATTTAGCAGGAGGACTCATCTATTAAGACCACAGTCTGAAATAGCAAAGGCAAAAAAAGAAAAGAAAAAGCTGGAAAAAACAAAAGAACACTCATTACATAATCCCATTTTGATGGAACAGTGGGAAAAATTCCCTTTTTTTTTTGGCTCTGGGGATATGGAAGGAATGTTACATTTTTCTTTCTGACCTAGATGCACTGGGTAGTTGAGGATCTTCTGTCATTAGCAGCTACTAACAATGAATCATTTATAGCTGTAATGAAAATTAGGGACTATTTTCCACCTTTGTCTTCAGGGGGCAACCCTATCTTGTCAGAAGACCGTGGTGAGATGGCTTGTTTGCCTCTGCTAGACCCAGTGCCAGATGCCACACAATTAGCTCCCCACTGGTTTCCTGTTTACATTTCCATCTGTGCCCCTGAGACTTAGTATCTTTTAGTTCCAGTCATCTTCAGATAACCACATTGTTTTCAAAGGGATAAGCACAAAATGGTGCACAGAAGAGCTGTCTCTGCAAGAGAGTAAAAAGGCTATGGCTTTGAACAGAGAGAACTTTCTCATTGTTGTTGGTTTATCCTAAAAAAAAATTCTGATTTGTTCTGGGTGAGCTAAAATCAGAAAATTAAATTCCCTACTGCCCCTGCCAACAAACAGAATATGGCAAAACACAAAGAGTAGATACTTAAAAAGTTACAAACAACAATGTGATAGAGATACTCGTAGAAGTCTTGATTGCTGCTTGATTGTTACTGTTGCTCCATAGAGTTACTGGTACTAACTGTGCTACATTGGGCAAATCACTTAATTTGTGTTTTCCACGTTCCTTATCTGCATAATAGATTTATGAATAGTACATCCATGATAGAATTGTTGTGAAGATTAAGTAAAAAGATTAATGTCATAAATTTTTAGAGAATATTCCTCTCTTAACAAAGTTTTAAAAAACTTAAATTCTTTCCCTTAACAACATTTAGGTTGAAAACATGGACCTTATTATTAATTAACTAGACTTGATAGACATAAAAATACCATCAAAGCAATTTATGAACAATTCTTACCTAGCTAGCTTGCAGGAATGTTTCACATGTCCCTCTGAGCCCTTCACAATGCTAGACATGTATCAGTTATGTAATAAATGACATATACCTATTACATACTCATTAGGTTGGATTTGAAATAAGTACCTAATTCACATACTCATGTAGTTAATCAAAAGCACCCAGGTCTGTATATACTTTCCCAAGTGCTTAAATGGCTGCATGAACTCAGGAGGGAAAACATTCCGTTGATCCCTTCACGCTGAATGATCATTCACTCTGTACGGCACTTATACCACACCAACCCAGTGTGACTACTGACCATACCTCCCAGCTTTACTATTCTGTACTTACTTAGACTTAAAAGGTAAAGGTGAGGCAAATGAGAGACAGTGGCTGCACATCGCAGTGGCTGCGCATCGCGTTTGAAACCTTTTTGTGAGTACTCAGCACAGAAACCAAAGCTGTAAAGAATCCGGGAGCATGTGTAAAGCCTTTGGTCACATTCAATACCATACACCAGAGGCACAGACATACCGTGTGCTCTGGACAAAAAAGGAAGTGCCGAGATGAATGAATACATGTCCCAAATCTATGCACTGGAGTTAGCTGACAATAAAGGTCAAACAGAAGAGAGAGTAATGGAATTGCACAGTAATGGTTTGTGACCTTTCTGCCAAGACCTTTGCTGTTTTTGAGTTTGTTCTTTTACTAACTTTCCACTAATTATTTAACACAGTGCTTGGAGCACTAGCTCTACAGTCTGAGTGTTTGGGGTATAATAGAGTCACTGGTACTAACTGTACTACATTGGGAAAATCACTTAATCTGTGTTTTCCAGGTTCCTTATCTGCATAATAGATTTATGAATAGTACATCCATGATAGAATTGTTGTGAAGATTAAGTAAAATAATACACACAAAACATGTCCAAGCACATAGTAAGTGCCCAATTTAGTTACTATTATTCAGTATATTAAGAGATTGAGACCAATTCACTATAAAATTATCCCAGGGTAGATAGCATTCTTTCTGTCTCAGCTTCTCACCTTCTCACACTTCTCTCTCCACTTTGATGTGCTGGGGATAAAGGAAATGCATTTTCACATTCTCCTTTCTAGTTGGAACTATTACAGTATGTTCTCAACCATTGCCTAAGAGCAAATATGTTATTCCAAGGACAGAGTGCAAAACTGAATTAATCTTTCTTCCTGAAGTCTTTTTAACCTTATCTGAAAGCCTGTTTTCAAAATATCTATTTTCCAGCCACATTTCAGGATTCTTTTAGTCTATTTCTAACTGTACATTTACTAGCCAAAGTATATTTCTACCACTCTTAGCTGAGTAAAGCTGATTTATCCATGGGGAAAAGATCTGGATTCTATTCTGCAAATTGTTCTCTTGGGCTAATAAGCTGTATCCAATTTCCAGGGTGCCTGATGCCTTCATCTTTAGGGTTGAAAGATTCCATTTTGCTTCATCCATCAACCACAAAATAGTCAACCTCGTCTTCATAGCAAAGCCACGTTTCTAATGGTTATGAAAGCAACTTAGGCTGCTAAGTTGAGTCAGCAATTTAAAAATAAGAATTCTTTGACCAATGAACACAATCAAATTTGAAAAGTAACTGATAAAAAGCACAAAAATGAAACCTTCAAGGTTTCCCTCTTTTAAGTTTCTGAATAAAATTAATTTTTGTCTTTTAACAAATAACCTAAAAAAAAAAACAACCTCTGCTAATGGCCCCATAACTTTTTTCCTATTTCTCCCTTTGTCCTATATGCACAGTTTGTTTTAATTGGCTAATAATAATTATTATCATCATTAAAATGATATCATCATTAAAATAAAATGCTAATCATCATTAAAATATCAATACTCTATATATGTGTTAAAATGAAAGATGATAAAGGACAGTAATCTATTTTTAGCAGTCAACTGCAAATGAACCTTGACATAATGGATAGAGTGATTTAATATTCATTATTTCCTATGTAGCATTTTTTATAAATGTCTCTGCAATTTCAACATAGCTTTCTCCCTAAAGGCTTTTTTAGTACTTCTGTTGTAGTGCCAAAATTCTATTCTTAGAATATGTAGATTTATCGTAAGTATTAATTTCAAATTTTTAAACTTTTTATCGTGTATTTATGTCTCATCTACCCAAAATACCACTCTCAAGAATAAATCCAAGATGCCTTCTCTCATCCACTCCCTGGTAGCAATCTCTCACCCTCCTGAACTCCACAGTTTTATCCATCCTTCTCATTGCATCCTCGCCATTATATTTTACCTTTATTGAATTTATACTTCACCTAACTTTTTTCCAGTGGAAGTCCTGTAACTTCCTACCATGTTGTGCAGTTATTTATGTATGCCTCTCCTCCCCCATGCCGCCGTGAGCTTCGTATGGATAGACTTGGTGTCGAAGTGAACTTGGTAACTCCCATAGCACTTGGCAGAGAGTCTGGCACAGATTAAGCATTCAACACCTGTTTGTAGAACTTATGAATAGATGAATAATTATCAAATGAAAAAAATAATAATTCTGCCATTATTATACTCACCTGGGCTGGAATTACTGGGTTTAGAGGATTTTTAGAAACACAATCTGTCCATGACTAATATTGTGTCTGTTGAGAGCCAACCACCAGTTGAGGTGATTGTGGTTTTTTGCTGATGTGCCTGGTTTGGGGAGATTACACCAGTATTATAGTGATAGGGTCTTATTGATGGGGGCGGAATAAGTTTTCCTTTGCCTTGTTCACATGCTACAATGGATGTGACCATTATGACTGGCAGAAAGAGCATTGGTTTTAGACTCAAACAGACCTACTTTCAAATGTGCTACAAGCTGTGTGACCCTGAGCAGTTGACTTAGTCTTTAACACTCTAAGTAGCACATAGTCTGATAGGTTCATATAGGAGTTAGACACATGTGGAATAGTATCTGCCACATAGCAGGGCTCAGTTATGTATGTTCTAGTTATTATTAGAATGCAAGAGCTATTTAACTGAACTATATGCCACTGTCTAGTATACAATCTGAGTCCAGTGCATGATCTACACAATGGGGTAAGGTATGTAAAGTATTTATTATAGAGCAGCATCAGTGCATAGCCCTCAGTAAATATTAGAAATTGTTGTTGAAATTTTGCCTTAGGGGGAAAATATAATAATATTCAGCTAATTATCTAACCATCAACCCACTCCCACCAGACGGTGCCAAGTCCTCCTGCTACATGTTTGCATATGCCCCAGTTCTCCGCATGGCACTCATCTCAGCTGTAATGAAATCATCATCATGCAGTGCATGTTTAATAGCCATCCCTTACTAGAATGTACACTCCATGGCAGCAGGGCCCCTATCTGTCTTGCTCACTGCTAAATCCCTACTACTTAACACAGTGCCTTATTCACTCAGTAAATATTTGTTGAATGAATGAATGAATGAATGAGTCAGTAAGCCAGTGAATATTATATACATGATTGTTTTGTGCCTGATATGTAAATTAGTACCGAGTGAATGTCTGTGCAACTGGATTGTCAATAGCATTCATTATAATAAAAGTTTCTAAAGACTGGTTACTTCCTTATAGTTACCCATTGTAAAAGTGTTATTTAATGATAACATCAGCAGAACAGGCTGCCCGTGTAGTCTTTTATTGTCATTCTTGCCTTGCCAAAACTACTAAGCACAAAATAAACACTCAAAATAGCTCTTTCAATGGAAAATTCTAATCATGTTCTGGACATTGTCATCATTTCCTTGACTTGCCATTGTTAAGGAACAAGCAAAACTATTGGTGGGGGGGGACATACAGCTCTTGAAAACTCAAATATTTTTCCTGCATTATTTATTTCTTCTCTTTTATTGGTAATACCCACAGCTCAAGCCTCATATTTTTTAAAAAAGGATTTGTGTATCTGCAATGAAAAATGGAACAGAAACTAATGTCCTTGGAAATAAATTGTAAGATAGAGTAATTATAGCAAGCATTTGTTTCCATAAAGTATCTTTGGATTCTTGACAGTATTTTCGGTCTTTATCTGTGAAAAAGGGAACTAGCTATATTTTAAATTTATCTTCCTCAATCATCTTGAGGGAAAAATATCTTTTTTTGACTAGCTGTCCAATAACTAAAGACAAAATATAGTAATTATCTCTTTCACATGGCTCATCACAGAGTCTGACAGCATAGGAACCATTTAGAAAGCAGGTAAAGCCACACAGTGAGGATACAGAGTCCAAGCCGGTTAATAAAACTCTGACAAAGTACATCCACCATTGTGCTCCTCCTTCCTCTCCCCTGCCTCTCTTGCCTTGAATAACCCCTGTCCTGGATATTTGCTTGATCATTTCCTTAATTTTTTTCTAATTTACACTTTCACATACATACGAAGGCCTGAAGATGTATTGTTTTGTTTTAAATGTTTTTACATTTACTGAATGGGTTCATGCTGTAGTCTTCTGGGACTGGCCTTGTCTGCTCAGTATTGCTCAGTCATATATATTACTGCATGTAGTTGTAGTTCATGTGTTTCTCACTATATAATAATCCAGTTGTGGAAATAGTCCACAGCTTATTTACCCACCCTCTCATCAAAGAACACTTGGGTTGTTTCTAATTTTTACTGTTATGAACAGTGCCTCTGAGACCATCCCGGTACATATCTCCTAGTGTGTTGATGGAGGAGTTCTTTAGGAATGTATTTAGAATTGCTGGCCTTACAGCATGAAAAAATTCAACTATACAATATAATAGCAAACTGTCAGAGTGGTTATATCAGTTTGCTTTCCCACAAGCAACATGTAAATGATCATATTGATCTACATCTTCTCTAGCCCTTAGTACCACCAAACTACAAACTACTTCTCTTTTTTTTGGCATATTTTAGTTGATGTTTAGTACACATGTTATACTGTATGTTCACATGGTCTCATTATATTATTAAGAAATATACAAATAAAAATAGATCATATATGACCAAAGATGAAAGTATGTCATAAACCAAAGATTATGATTAATCTGACTTTGTGTATTTAAGGTTGAGAGGAGGGATTCTAGGAGATGTGGATAGGGAATCCTAGCCCTGGTAAAGAACTCAAAGATGGCTTCTAAGAAATATCTTGAAGGGATGGACAGAAGAGCTTAGATTACAAGGTGCCACTGTTATACAGGGCATAGCCCATTCCTCTCTTCCCCAGAATCATCTCTTGTACTCAAAGAGGCAGTGGATCCAAGGCAGTCATACATTGGATGTCTTTTGAGTCCTTGGAAGGAAAGAGGGTGAAAGTTTTACTGTACCCTTGTTACCACGTCTGACAGAAAAATCACACCAGTGGCAATCTCTTAGGAACCTCTCGGGTGAGAAACTCCTCTAAGTTTATGTTTTCTTCTAGGATATGGCATTGGTCTCCCACCCAACTCCCCACTGACCTCCAACATATCTGAGCTCATCAGTCAGTACAAGTCCCATGGGTTTATGGACGTGCTGCATGACAAGTGGTACAAGATGGTTCCCTGTGGCAAGAGGAGTTTCGCTGTCACCGAGGTAAGGCACGACTGCCAATGATGCTGATGCTTCGTGTAGCTTTGCCTTGAAGAGTATCATGAAACTGCTGTTACATATGGCCTGTGGTCAGTAATCCAGGCTAGTACATCTCCTGGGACTTACCAGGACATATGGATTACTCCTAACCCCACTTGAAGAGTGCATACTCCTATAGGAATTTACAATGAGACAAGATAGTCTTGGATTTAAATGTGATGTTATTTTGATAAGTAAATGTCTGAATTTCTACTTTTCCCCTATATGTTATACCTACAAATACAGAAGAAATGCTGTTCTAATTGCAGCAATAGTATCTGATACTGATATGAATAGTGTTTAGTTTAGCTATTCATTGCTGGTCATGATGTGGACTTCAGAGTATCCTTAACAATCTAATCGCAGTTAACTTCCTAGGGATCCTTTGTGGGTTTAGAAAAATAGACATACCTTTCCAACTAGGACCCAGAAATCCTCAGTGATTTCAGGATTTAGCAGTGAGCAAGGCAGACAGGGTCCCTGCTGTCGTGGAGTGTACACTCTAGCAGAGAGACAGAGATTAAACATGCACTGCATCATGATGATTTCATTGCAGCTGAGATGAGTGCCATGCGGAGAACTGGGGCATATGCAAACACGTAGCAGGAGGACTTGGCACTGTCTGGTGAGAGCGGTTTGATGGTCAGGATAATTAGGCCAGTTGGGCGAATATTATTATATTTTTCCCCAGGGCAAAATTTCAACAACAATATCTAATATTTACTGAGGGCTTACTATGCACCGATGCTGCTCTATTATAACTATTTTACATACCTTACCCCATCATGTAGATCATGCACTGGACTCAGATTGTGTACTAGACCGTGGCATATAGTTCAAGAATCACTCTGGGATTCTAATGATCACTGGAACAGACTGAGCCCTACTGTGGGCAGTCAGAATCTACGTCTTTCCATTACGGCGTTCTGCCTTCAAAGTGTAATTGGAAAGCAACCGTCAAATTGGATGACTGAGACAGGAGACGAAAAGGTGTAGCAAGAGCGCCAGGTGTCAGTGATTTAAACGGGAAGCCAAATAAACCAATACAAGGGTTAGATTTTTAAAGAAAAATCTAAAGCCAACAACAATGGCTTCCAATAGCCTCTATTTGCCAACAACTCCCAAATTTGTATTTCAGCACAGACTCTTCCTCTGAGCTTTGAAGCCGTATATCTACCTTCTTATTTGACATCTCCACTTGAATATCTCACAGGCATTTCACATTTAACTTGTCAAAAACTGAGCCCTTGATCTTCTCTCCTAAATCTGCTTTTCCTCTTGTGCTTCACATCTTGGGTAATGGCACCTCTGTCCACCCAGTTACTCATTCCAGAAACTGCAGGGGTCTTTAATGCCTCCCCTATCTCACGCTCCACATCCATCAACAAGCCGTATCTTTTCCTTCTATAAAATATATCTCAAATATGCCTACTGATTGCCATCTCCACTGTCATTGCTCTAGTCCGAGCTATCATCCCTCACCTAGACTGCTGAAAGTCACCTAACTAGACTCTTGGTTTACATGCTTGCCTCTCTCCCAATTTTTTTTCCCACCTGGCAGATCACTGTCCTTCTTGGAAGCCTGCAGTGGCCTCCCACGTTAATTAGGAAACAACCTGAAGTGCTGAACATGGCCTGCAGTGCCCTGTGGGATCTGACCCTGCCTACTTCTTCAGCCTTATCTCATGCCACTTTCCTTCTGGTTCATTACAGCCCCACCACAGTGGTCACTTTAGATGGAGATACGTCAGTTGGTGTCCCTGCCTTGGGGTCTCAGCACATGTTGTGTTGTCCTCGCCAAATACTCTTCTCCCTGATTTACTCAACTAATGTCCTCTCATGACAAACACCCAGCTGAAATCTCCCTTCTTTGGAGCCTGCCCACAGTCCCCGATCCAGTCTGAGTCATAATCTCTTCATAATCTCTCATTAGATCTCACTGAGAAGGTGGTCACTCAGCAAAGATTTAAAGGAAGCAAAGAGGAAAGTGAAGAATTAGGCAACTAGCATATTCTATTTCTTACCATGTGACTAAAGCTCTATTAAGAACATTAATTCATTGGTTTTTGCTACAACCCGGTAAAGCAGGGATTTTTATCTTTATTTGGAGAGATTCCCATGGCTTTTCCTAAAAGAAAAGACTTACACTGGCCAGCTGAATTAATTCAGCCAAGAAAGCAAACACACCAATTGCTCAAATTGTGCAAAGTAATGATCACTTAGTGTTTTCTACCATTTGTCGTGACCATGGCTAACTCAAGCCAAAATCTCCAAGTGATTCAACGTTGACAACAAGACATTAGACAAGATGAAAGGCGCCTCCCAGTCATGTCCCCAAAGCCTGCATTATGGAATAATTTGCACCTCCCTGATCACAGGCACACCTCTAGGCTGGTACCATTTCAGAGGACTGGCAGACCAAGATAGCAGCTGGAGGGACCACCTGAGTCCTACGGGAAGCCCCTGAGAGTGCAGGGCTCTGCAGATTCAGATCCTACCCCAGGGAATGTCCTCTGGGAGACTAACACAACCACTCACATAAGTCTGTTTATTCCGCTGTGAAAATATCTAACACACAGTCTGATACATTTGAAGTCATACACTTCTGGACATGCATTCTGGCTCTACCAATTAACTCAGTGACTTAAATTCTCGAGTTGGCGTTGTCTCACCAATGAATGGATATCTTAAAACCTGCTTTGCCATTTTGCTCTGAGAATAAAAAGTCATTTCTGGAAAGACCTACAAAGAAACCTGGCACAGTAAAGAGTAAATAATAAATAGCAGAAGTAGCAATGCTTCCTCTCTCCATCAGGAGACTTTCCTGGGGCTCCTGGATATCTTTAGGTGTCTTCCTGCACTTCTTTTTTAAAAGTGAGGAAATCTTCCTAGAGCCTTCCAAAAGATTTCCTCATATTTCATGGACCAAAATCATGTCATGTGCATGTCTAAGCCAATCAGTGGTAAAGAGATTTAGATCACCATGATGGATTAAGCCAGCCATGACTTAGCTCCTAGAACTGACGATGTGGCAACTTCTCTTGAAGCTGGTCACCTGGAGAAAGCCTAAACATAAGCAGGACTCCCTTAAGAAGGAGGAGACAGGAGAACGGATGCTGATTAGGCAACCGACTGCCTCTTCTTGCACCCACATTGCAGATGTGAAAGTTGCTTCCTCTCTCACCCTACCCACTTCCAGTCAGCTATACAATAAGGTATTTGGATTGAATCATCTACAAGAGACTTTCCAGCTTTGATACCAAGATTATGGTTTCCCTTTATAGCCTCCAAAGATAAGAATATTTAGTATTTTTAGAGTTTGCGTAACGGTGAAAAGCATGGGTTTTGAAGCCAGTTCTAGATTTGAACTCTACTCGCTGTGTGATACAAGACATGTTATATGGCCATTTTAAGCCTCAGCTTCTGCAAATTGAGGCTGATAATACCTACTTTACAGGACTGGTGAAAATTAAGTCAGATAATACTTGTTAAATAGTGAACCTATATCTAAATATGATAACTTACGTTCTTTCACCATAAATGTTCCAGAACGGTATGGATTTATCAGTAATTCCAAACAAAACCAAATAAAGTATGGACAAACAAGAGAACGGATTTTGAAAAATAAACAAATAATCAGCAAAAGCCATAGACTGTTCAGATGATGCATACAAAATGCTCTGATTTTTTTTTTCTCCCAACCATGGTTTTTAATGGGCCAAGTTCATGGCAGAAGCCTTTGGGAAATTCTGGATATAGTGAGCTGGAAGCAGTTGGATAAGGGGCTGGTATCAGAATCAAGTTACAGTTGTTAAGACACTCCAGGGTCTACTTTCCAGGTCAGCTAATTTGGAAAGAAGAGAGAGGTAGGACTGCGAATAGAAAAGCGGTATATCCTTAATTGGAGCTTCAGAGACAGAAATAAAGTTCTGATAACATCCATGGTGTGTAAAGATGGGAAGGCCACCCTCAACCTCAGGGAATGCGGTGAACACACATGGAGTTACTCTTTCTCAGATATGGCACTGTATTGTGGCATATCCTGGTCCATGCAATAACAAACTGCTTTATAATGATGCTCACCTATGTGCATTTAAACAGCAATACATCCCTTGTGCAGTGACTGGCATTTTGTCTTGAGCAACCTAAAACAGAATTTCAAGTTGTTACACTCCCAGAACCTAAAAGTAAAATGCAATTAAATGAAACTAGTCTTCAGCTCACTGGCTGATCATTGTCTTCTCCATGAAGGCCCTCAGTCCTCCACCTTTTAGCTTTTTCCTTTTTCACTTCCTTCCAGAGGGGTCAGAAGAAGGAAATATGCCCGTTAGTATTTTGCTTGCCCTCCCTTTTGTCTCAGGTGTCACCCACTGCTGGGCTATCTTACTGCAGAGAAACAAAGACTGGCTTTGAAATCAGAGAAGACATAGTTGAAGCCTGCTTCTACCGTCAACTTGCCTAGGGCAGGTCACTAATCCACCTCAGTCTCAGCTTCTTCATCTCTTCGATGACTTCTCATTAGGAGTAAATAAAGTGGTAATTTAATGAACATATTCACCCCTGCCCCCAGGCAAGGGGTGTAAGAGCAGCAGCAGCAGGTATGTTCTGGAACGTAGCTCTCCGAACAGGTGCTTGCATGAAAGACATTCCTCTGTTTATTTCAGACCTGACCTCCCCTTTAACAGGTATAGTCCTAGTTAGTGTAGCTACAGAGTAATTAAACACCCTTTCACTCTGAAGAAACATTCTAGTTTGGCTAGGGAATGATATGGTCGCCTAGGAACATGACATGAATAGTGTTTTCCCCAGTTTTTGGCAGTTGGACATTAATACTTAGTCCCCTGTGAGAACTTTGATCTATTCACCTCCCATCTCTTGGCAACCCCTAGAGCTGTCTAGCCATAGTGTCTCTGATGGATAAACTCATTTTTTGAATTCCAGGGCTTTCTCTGATTCCCAGAGTC